ATCATGGCTCTGAATTCTATTTCTGTTAACTTGCCTAACTGCACCTCATTTATCTCATCTTCGGTAGAGGCCTCTTGTTCTTTCATTTGACTTTTGTATCTGTGTTTCACCATTTTGGCTATCACAGTGGGCTTTGGAGCCTGCAAAATTGTTCTTGTGGGTGTTGGTGTTCTGCTGTTTGTGGCTCTGTCTCCTGGGTTTAGATGAGTCAGGGAGGACCCACGTTAAACATCACTGTCAAGTCTTACTTTCCTGGTTAGAGTTTCTAGCCCAGGGATGGTACAGTTATAGTCTAGGTTTTTGCCTGGAGGCTATCAGTTGCGGTTACCTGAAGAACCTTGGCTTCTCAGTTAAATAAAAACTTCCTCAGGTGCACAGGGTAAGGGGATTTCCTGAGGGTGGGGCAGATGCTGGTTGTTAATGGGCCTCAATTTGCATTTCAGTGGCCCTGGGAAGGAGTAAGATGACCACTGTCCTGTGTGGCCGCAACTCAGCAAAAGCTCTGAGCACCCTCCAAAACCCAGTTTCCCCACACAGTTCCAGTCCAGTCTGCCCTCCTTCTGCTAGAGCCCAAGGTAAGTGACTGTGGCTCTTTTAGCCTCTGTTCTGGCTCTGTGCTGTGGAGCCGCTTGGGACTTTAACCTGAGGGTGCTGCTTAGAGCTAAGGGTGCTGCCCACAGCTCAGGGTGCTGCCGACCATGGGCTTCCAGCCCCCCTCTCGCTTCTCTATAATCCTACCAGGATTGAGTCAGTGTCCCTGATTATGTGGTCCTCCAAGCTGCTTTTCTGTTGCTTTTTCCTGACAATTTGTCTTTATTTTCGTTGTAATTCCAGTTTGGCCCTGGGAGATGGTCTGTGTAGCTTCCATTCACTCTGCCACCATTTTAGAATCTCCTTTCCAATGTGTTCTTAATTTCTGCTATGTCATTCTTCATTTCCATTTGGTAAGTTTTTAATGTTTCTATATCTTTACTTATGGTGTTGAGCTTCTTATTCCTGCTGTTGAGCTTCCTCAAGGTCATCGGTCTGAACTCTACCTCTGATAACTTGCTTAACTGCATTTCATTTATCTCATCTTCACTATAATTCTCTTGTTCTTTCATTTGCAATTTGTTTCTTTGTTTGGATATCTCAGTGGGTTTTGGATCCTGACAAATTTTTCTTGTGGGGGTTGGTGTTCCACTGTTTGTGGCTCCCTCTACTGGGTTTGGATGAGTGTGGGAAGACCCATGTTAAACACCATTGTCACATATTACTTTCCTTCATAGATTTGCAATCCAAAGAAAGGTTCAGTTATCCTCTAGCTTTTTGCCTGGAGGCTATTAGTCTCAGTTACTTGATGAGCCTCGATTTGTAACCCTCAGCTGAATAAAAAATTCCTCAGGTGTAAGAGGATTTCCAGTGCTTGCTGTCAGAATCTGTATGTAATGAACCTCAATTTTTATTTCTCTGGCCTGGCTTGGTGGTGTTGAATTCCTGAGGGAGGGGCTATTGCTTCTCCCCAGGGTTTTGGGAAGGGGCTCTTTGAGTAAGATATCTATTGTCCTGTAAGGGAGTGATTTAGCACACAACTCACAATGTCCTCATCTCCAGCTCTCTTGACCCAGGACCCCTGGACTCTTTCCATACAGTTCCAGTCTAGTCTGCCCTTCCTCTGCTGGAGTCCAAGGTGAGTGGCTGTTGCTGATTTGGTGCTTTTTAAAACTCCCACTTTTTTAGCAGGAAGTGCTCGCGATTAATACAGCCTTCTGGTGCTGTCCATGGGCTCCCTTCCTGCCCCCACACACCTCTGCAGTTCCAACCAGGCTCCATTTGGCATCTTCTTTCTGTCCCTGGTTATGCAGGTTCTTGCCAGCTGCTTTTCAATTAGTTTTTCCTGACAATTTGTTATTATTTTAGTTGTCTTTTATTACTGAAAAGTATTCCATTGTATGGATGTATCGCAATTTGATTATCCATTCACATATTGAGGGATATTTGGTTCTTTCAGTGTTTGTCAGCTATGATTATGAGTGCAATAAACCCAATTTTATTTTGCATATTTCAAATCAATTTGGTCGATATCTGGGAGTATGATTGCTGGGCAGTCATAAGGGTCTGCACCTTTGCTTTCAGACATAGGCTAATTTGGTTCAAAATGGAGCTTTAAAACATCCATTCCCAGAGATATTTTGAAAACAAATGTGATCTCGGTGGCTTTTTTTGGAACAGCCAAATTTGTAGATACTGAGAGGTCACAGTACTGGTTGATATAGCTGGCAGAATAGTAGATCAGCTGAAAATTTAACAGATCAATATCAACATCATCAGCCATTAAAGAGATGCAAAATTAAAACCACAGCATGGTGCTACCGAGCATCTCCAGTCAAAAGGACTGTCACTACCAAGTGTTAGTGGGGATGTGAAGAAGCTGGAACTCTCATATTGCTGTGGAAATAAAAACTTTGGAAAACTTTTGGATAGATTTATAAGAAGTTTTACATAAACTCTCCAATCACCCCAGCAATTCTGCTCCTAAGTATCAATCCAAGATAAATAAAAACATACATATTAACATGAGACTTTTACACAAATGTTCATAGCAGCATAATTTGTAAGGCAAAAAATAAAATGACCCAGATATCTATCAAGTGGTAAAAGAATAAACAAAATGTGGTGTATCCATGTATGAAAAATTATTCAGTAATAAAAAGGAAAACACTTCTAATGCTTGCTACAACATGAATAGAAACACAAAATCTTTGCTGAGAAAAATAAACCAGACATAAAAAACTACATATTGTATGATTCCATTTATACAAAAATTCCCAAATGACAAATATACAAGACAGAATGCAGCTTACTGGTTACATGGAGCTATGGGTGGGAGTAAAAATTAACCAGAAATGGGCACAAAGGAACTTTTTGTGGTGATGCAGATATTTACTACTGCATCAAGGTTATGTTTGCAGAACTGTATGAATTTATTTACAAATAATGACTTTGTAAACTTTAGAACTGGATCTGCATAATGGGATGGTTACATAATTCTAAATTTACTAAACTAAAAACATTACTAAAATCAGTTTACTGACAATCCATATATTTACAGTAGATGAATTTTATGGTATATACATTATATTTCAATGAAACAGTTAGAACCATCTTCAGGTAACAATATATATATATTTTCATGTTGCGGCTATGACCCAGTTTATCTACTGTTATAAAATCTGTTGCATCATTAATTTTCCTGAACATGTTACAAGTATGTAAATTTAGTTGAATTTTTCACAATGAAAATATGACCCAAACACGATTTGATGTTATGCAGTTTTACGTAGTGGTTAGACGTGTGGGCTTTTGAGTCAAATTTTCAGTTTGAATCACAGCCCTGTCATTTATTAGCCAGAAACTTTTATACCTTATTTACTCTTCTCAAAGGCTCAGTTACCTTATGTGAAAATTAGCTTAAAATACAAATGCTATTTTGAATTGAGTTTAAAAAATGGGTTTAAAAAATAATACCTATAAATTGCTTAGCACACTGCCAGAAATAGTGTGTTATATAAAAATTAAAACAGTCACAAATTAAATCTTTTCCACTTTAATATTTATTTTAATTAAGTTTTTTCACATAAATTTATTTAAAAAATCAGACATGAATTCTTTGTCTCAAAACTGTGGTCATAGTGGATGATATAAAACTTTTCATTCTTAGCTTTTCTTATTATTTTCCTGTTTTAGGAATTGTGATGATATTTGACCCCAGTTTAGAAATTGTTTCAACTTTTTTTGTGTGTGTAGGTCTAACCTTATTCTGCTTTTAAATTGAATTTATTGGGGTGACATTGGTTTGCAAAACCATAAGGTTTCAAGTGTACAACTCAGTAAAACATCATCTGCACACTGCATCGTGTTCCCATCTCTTCAAGTGAAAGCTCTTTCCCTCCCCATATTTATCCTGCATTTGCCCACTTCTAACAACCCCCACATCCTTTCCCTCTGGCTATCACCACACTGTTTTATATATGTATATTTGTTTTTTTCTTGCTTAATCCATTCACTTTCTTTTATCCAGTTTCCCAATCCCCCTCCCCTCTGACAGCTGTCAGTCTGTTCCATGTATCCATGCCTGTTTCTCTTTTGTTCACCAGTTTATTCTATTCATTAGATCCCACCTATAAGTGAGATCACATGGTATTTGTCTTACTCTGACTGGCTTATTTCATTATCTCTAGGTCCATAAACTCACCATTGATGTTTGTTTCTTCATTCAAATGATATAAGAAAGAGTTAGGAAATTTTATTTTAAATATCCTTGTCAGTTTAATTTTGTTAACTTAGCTATAAAAAGATATATAGCCATCTGAAATTACAGTTCTGAAAGATGAAACAATCTGTTATACCCAAGGATATCCAGGAATTTTTAAAAAGCCAAAAAAGAGAGAGAGAGAGAGAGAGAGAGAGAGAGAGAGAGAAAGATTAACTTATTTCTCTCATCTATATTTTACTGCTCAGTTTTATCTTATTTAGTCATTATTAACTTATTTTTCTCCTGACTCCTGGAAATATTTCTTTCAATCTAGCTACCTTAGCAAACTTAGTGAATAATGCTTAGTATCTTTTTTTCCCCAAAATATATTTTTATTGATTTTTTTTTTTAGAGAGAAAGGGAAAGAGAGAGAGAGAAACATTGATGTTAGAGTAAAACATTGATTGGTTGCCTCCCATACACACCCTGACCAGGGATTGAACCTGCAACCTGGGTATGGGAATCAAACAGGTGACCCATCGGTGCACCAGACGATGTTCAACCCACTAAGCCACACCTGCCTGGGCAATAACGTTTAGTTTCTATATTAACTGCATAACTACAAGATCTTTAGTTTTTTTGTAATTCCTAAATCGTAGCCCCTTTTAATGCCCAGGATTACTTGGAAACCTATAAATCAGCCACCTGACCTGACACAATACAGCCAATGTTACCCATCTGTTCACCTACCTATAGAGATCTAAAATTACATTGATCTAAAAGAAAAGCTTACATTTGTCAGAAATCTCTTTAAGGCATCCTTCACATCCTTATTCCTCAGGCTATAGATCATGGGATTCAGCATGGGGATCACAAGTGTGTAAAACACAGAAGCCATTTTATCAGTGTCCAGTGAATGGTTAGTTCCCGGCTGCAAGTACATGAATAGTAGTGTCCCATAATAAACTGTGACTGCCATCATATGCGAAGTACACGTAGAAAAGGCTTTTTTTCTTCCTTCTGATGAACGTATCCTTACAATGGACAGAACAATCTTGAAATACGATACTAGAACTATTGTCATGGAACAAACCAAATTTGTAGCTGCAGATACAAAAATGACTGTTTCTGGAAGGTAAGTATCAGAGCACGACAATGCTAACAGAGGGACAGTATCACAGTAAAAATGATTGATTATGTTGGAAGAGCAGTAAGACACAGAGAATACAAAAGATGAAGTCACAACAGCTGTGGAAAAGCTATAGAGGTAAGTAAGGGATACCAGCAAAAGGCAGTTTTGGCGAGATAAAACCACCATGTAGAGCAGGGGGTTACAAATGGCCACGTAGCGGTCATAGGCCATCACGGCTAACATGGAAACCTCAGCTACAATGAAAACCAAAAACCCTCCCAGTTGGGTGGCACATTCATAGTAGGAGATGGTTTTCTTTGTTAGCAAAAAATTGATCAGCATTTTAGGGGCAATGACAGTAGAGTTGCCAAGATTGATGATGGCCAACTGCTGGAGGAAAATGTACATGGGAGTCTGAAGCCGAGAGTCAACAATGGTGAGGGTGATGATGCTCAGGTTCCCAGCCAAGGTCAGCACATAGATGACCAGAAAGACAAAGAAGAGTGGAATCTGGAGATCTGGACTGCCCGAGACACCTATGAGAATAAACTCAGTGACCCAGGTGATATTTCCAGGAGCCATGAAAGAGTTTGGAAATTCATCTCTTTGGGAAAGAAAAGAAGTGGTTAGGAAGCTTAAGGAACGATTTTCTGGGACTACCATTAGTTTGCAAAGGCAATTAATACTTTGGGTGAGATTTCCCAGGATCATATATTATTCTAACTTAGTTATTAAACTCAAGATTCTAGGTCTAATAAACAAATTTTCCAATCATTTGAGAGAGAAAAAAGCGAGTGTGGCAATTTAAATAGAAAACACAGCACCGTGAACTTTGAGGATTTGCTTCCTACAGTCTTATGAAATGATGAGTATGTTATCAGCTTGCAAACAAACATTTGAAGACATGAGTCATTGTATGTCTCTTATATTGAGTGGGAGAAAGGCTTGAGAAAGTATATGTCCCAAATAATTGAATGTCTTTTTTATGATTTCTTCATCTGAGACTTCTTGATTGTTTTTTCAGAATAGATTCTAGTCACTATTCTGTCCCATTCTCTTTATTCTATCTTCTATAACTTCTATTAGATAGCACATTGAACTTTCATATTCTACCATCGCTTTCTGTTAACTGCTTTTTCTCATTTTCCATTCTATTAACTCAGTCAGAAATACATAGTTGTATGTCCACAGATCTGTTTTTCAGGTTATTGATTATCTTTTTCAACTTTAAAAAATAATCTCTGTGAAAATTTTGTCACTTTTATAATTCAATCCACTGTGCTTTGATGGGTACAACTTTTATTTTCTTCTCCCTCATAACCCTTTTTCTTCTTGTCCCACAAGTTTATGCAAATCCTCGTATTCTTTCCACTGATTTTATTTTAACGAGTATTTTTATTTATATAATTTTATAACATTATTTTTAAATTTTATAAAGTATATCTGGTCCTAATTTTTAGTTAATCTTTTTCTTAATATTTTAAAACATTTTTATAGTTTTTTGTTATCATAATAGTAGAAAAAATTCATTTTAAAGAGTTTCTATGATATTGACATTGAGTATATTTGTCAAAAAATCACATGTTATAATAATAATATGACTGAATATTTTTCTAGAGAATATTGCGTTAGGGATGATCACCTGCTCCTTACTAGTCAACTAGCGTTTCTTCCCTTCACAACTGTTAGTACATGTGATAGGAAACTGGCTCAAAGAAGCCCAAAGAAGTCTCTTATCTGATGATTTGGAGTTAAGTTCTGAGAACCAGACTGCATCATTATTTAACATAAAATCTGCTGTTTAGCTAAATTTTAACTATATATACTCACAAAATAATAATAAAGAGGACAGGAAACAAGTTTTGGATAGGATGGATGTTTATTGTAGTGATGGGTCTCTAATGCATCCTTATTTCCAAATTCATCAAGTCATGTACTTTAAACTTTTTATATCCAATCAAACATAAGTAAAGTGAGTTTTTAAAAAGACTGTATCATAATACCTAAACTGTAAAAGCTCAGTGTTGACATTCTATATATGAAAAACAAAAGAAAAAGACATAGAAACTATTTTATAGTGACAATGTAAAAAGAATTGAAGAATTGAAACAAATATAACATCTAATATACTTTCATTTGTTTGCTTTGGGTTTTTTGGATATCTGATTCTGACACCACAACATTTCACCTTGGTTTCTTTAGGTATTATTTATTTATTTTACCAAGTATTTGCTGATTTCATACTTGTACCAGGCAATGTTCAAGCTTCAGAGAAATTACTTGTTTCTCACGTTATAGACTATTTCAATAATAATAAGGAAGAGAAAAAAGGCTGATAAATACATAAGCAATATCATTGCAGACTGTAGTAAGTAACCTGGGAGAATTATTTCACATGGGATATTAGGACAAAGCCTTTCTGAGAGGGTGATGTGAATAAAACCTAAAGCATGTAGAGAAGTTTACTATTTAATAAATTACGGGAAGAACATTCCAGGATTCCAGACAGAAATCCTGCTCTGGGATAGGAAATAACTCAGTTTTTTGTTTGTTGGTTTTTGAGGGGAAACTTAATGGAGGCTAGTGTGACTGGGTAACAATGAGGAGGTTGAGAATTAGGATAATCAAATCCTGTAGACTACAATATATACTCCTATGGTATCCTAAGTGAATTGTAATTCATTGAGAAGTCTTAAGGTAGATGAATAACATAATCAGCTTTTGCAGTTGCAATGATAATATATTATAGAGTTTGAAAAAGGACAGAAATTATTATTGGAATTTCAAAAAATGAATTAAGCAGTTGTTACAGGATTCCTGGTGATTGGGACAAAGTGGAGAATCTGGAGTAGAGATAGGTAAATTGAGTAGTTGGGAGCAGTCACAAGGCGATACCTCCAACATAATTCATACTATGAATTATAAAAGGTATGTATTAGGAAATGACAGATTTAGGGCTATAGACCAAGATAAAATTGTGTGATTTTTTTTTTGTAATTGGCTCAATAACCATGTATACATATATATTTTGCATTTTAGAGGATATGATTTAAGTTGAGGTGATCAAAGTGATATTGTAAACATAGTAAACAGTAGGTGTTAATGAGTCATTTAAATAGTCATTTAGGCAAGAGAATATTTAAGTCTGAAGCACATCTTGTGGTTAGACTTGCAGATATGTAAGAAACATCAGCCTAGATGATGACACCATCTCTTTCCATTAATTTCAAGGTGTTTTTTTTTTCAAATTTTGTAACAAAAATTCCTAACATGTAGCTCACTCCATCTCCATCCTTTTCCATGGAGGAATACACTCTGTTTTGAGAGTCTAGCTTTCCTTTACCCCCAAACATTACACTGCAGGATGTTGCTTCCATGTTCCCTCCTATCCCTCTTTCTCATTTTCCATCACAGTTTACTTTCAATATTACTTTGTGTTGGTTTCAGGTGTACAACTTAGTGGTTAGGCAGCTGTGTACTTGACATAACATTTCCCTTGATGTTTCCAGTACCCAACTTTCTTACCTTGCATTCTCTGTGTTTACAGTGTTGAATCTTTCCCCAACAGTTTTCATTGTTTCCATTGTCTCCCTCAGCAAACAAATCACTGATGAGCAACACAAGCACCTATATCAGCTCTGCCATTTCTGCTGAAGTCCAGGGCTTTCCTGATTACACTCTTTATTTAAACTGCCATAATACATTTTAATGAGCAACCATATACAATTACAAATATATTCATCCCTAAATATTCTGTTTCAAGCCCCATTTTGTGTTATTTGCCCATTTCCGTAAACACTTTCCCATCCTTAGCATTCCCCTCTTCTGCCTCTTAGGTCAGGCTTTCATTAACACTGTCATTGACCATTGTATCCTTCTTAGTCTGCATGGCACGATTCTCTCAGATTAGCAGGGAGGCAAGTGGCAGTTATTAAAGCTTTTTGAGTCATTAAGATCGGTAATCTGAGCTTTTAAAAGAATAATCGAGATATGCTTTAGCCTCATTTTCAATGTATTTCACAATCATGTCCATTTCACTTTTATAGTCATACTAATCTACTAGGAATGCATTGAAGACACATTTTTATCTCTGGCCCTTTATTCCTGACTCATATTGTTCTTCTGAGATACTCCTCTTTTGTGTGTGAATGAGAGGTGGCAGGTTACCTGCAAGAAGTCTGCCCACCACCTGTAGCACTGGTTCTATGCAACCAGGAACTGGAAATGAACATGGTATGAAATGAGGCTCACAAAGTTGAATTTTTCAGGTTTTAAGAATGCCTTTCTGATCATACTGTAGGCATTTTCAATCTTCTTATGAATACTAATGAGTAACTGGGAGGGTAAAAAAATAGGTGAGTTCTTCATATCACCAATGTTTTATTGCTGATGAGTAATTATCATAGTCTTTAAATATGTATGTAGAAATAGTTTCTAAGTACTTAGAATATTTTTATTATAAAATTATAAGGCTGTATATAAAGAAAATGTATTTCATTTTGAACATTCTCTTTTAGGTCAGTGAATTTGAATGCAACCCTATAAATATTTTCTTCCTGGGTTTTATTTTGTCCTTGAGAATGGTAGAAAGCTTTATCCTTTTAAACCAGGAATCTAGTGGTCTGTAGTTTCCTAAAGTCTTGCTTCTGCTATTCAGTGTCTTTCCTCAAATAGACGTCTTTATTTTTGAGGTCTTCTCAACTAAATTGTTTGCATATTTATTTCACTATCAGATAGATGGTTTATCCAAATAGGTGTTACTATTGCATTGATGACACATTATGCATATATATATATGTGTGTATATCTATCATCTATCTATCATCTATCTATCTATCTATCTATCTATCTATCTATCTATCTATCTATCATCTATCTATCTATCATCTATCTATCTATCTATCTATCTATCTATCTATCTATCTATCTATCATCTATCTATCCACCCTGTATGTTATCAGATTGAATGGTTATATTCTCAAAAATGGGTATCATTTGGAGTTTGGGTAGTTGTGTATCCAGTTTTCTTTTATAAACTATCCTGTGAAATATGCAGTTTTCATTTTAGCTAATACTGCAGAAATAAAACTCTGATATAAATCACTTAAGTGAGCAAAATTCCATTTCTTCAGTAGTGATGTAATTTATCTAACTGTATAAAACATAATGGTGTCATCTCTCATTTGGAAACATCAATAGCTGGATCATGTTTAACACCTTGCATTCCCCAAACGAGTTATAAATCTTGGAAACAAACTTTACTTTAAATATTTGATTATACATGATGTCCAGTTCTTTCCAAAATGAAAGTTGTGTGGTTCAGTTTCAGGAATGGTTGGGATCATTTAAAGGCTATTATAAAAAATAGATAAGTGTTTTCTACCCACCTGTAATGGAGAGTCTGCTTCAGGTTTGTGGAGGATCTCTGTGTGGCTGTGGCAGTAGGAGTTTATGGGGCTCTATAAACCTTTGAGGCCCCAACTCTGAGGCACAGGTGATTCTGGGATGCTGAGGTTAGCTCTTACATCCTTGGTGAAGATGCCACCTGGGATTGGCTCCTTAACCAGATCTCCCTCTAGGAG